ATGAAACAATGCCTACAGCTGTCATGATTCGCCACGAGGGGCGGCATGTCAGCTGGGGAAGGAGGCCTCTTGCTGCGATGTAAGACCCTCCACTAGCCCCCCGGAAGTTCAGCCCTTGGGAAGCTAACAGAGCCCCTCCCCCTCTGCTCCCCTGCACACTGGCAGGACCTAAAGAGCCCAGCAGCTCAGCGCGGCTTTACTTTCCCCTCCTGTCCTGTGAGCAACAGGGAGAGGACAGGTCCTCTGCTCTTCCCCCTCTCCTCTGGAACACCAAATCTTAGTAGACAGGAGGGGGATGGGGATCTTGCTGCAGCCCCCCAGCCTGGGAGCATTAATCAATCCCCAGAAGTTGTCAGAGGAGCAGAAGTACGGATGGTTGGGGTACAACTGGTGGGAGGTCGGGGAAGCAGGGCAGATGTGGAGCTGTGGGCAGGACTGGGTAGGGCCTGGACACAGCGCTGGTGTGGGAGCTGAATCGATGTGTTGGCTGGGGACAGACAGAATCGATGCAAGAGGCAAAGGTGGGGGCAGATGTGATGTGGGACCTGGGAGGACAGGATTGATTTGGGGGTGGGGGAGTAGCATGAAGTGTCAGGCAGATGGGGGCAGGGTGAGGACTCCTGTAGCAAGGGATAAAATCCTCCTTCACTGTTACGTGTAACTGTCGCACAAACCTGTGTAACAAAAACAAACTGAAAAACACAAGATCGTCTTTCAAGAAAAACTCAAAACTCAGGATTTTGGGGCAAAACATCCTGATTTTGGGAGAACCAACCCATGATTTTGTTCTTGTGGCTGGTGATGCTGCGGAAGGGTGGGTGCTGCTGTTCCAACACCAGGCTGGTACCAGAGAAATCTCCTAACTAACCCCAAGTAACATCTGTACAGCTGGGGGCAGCTGTACCACTGACCTGAAACTCGCCATCCGTGACCTGCTGGACAACTGGGAAGACTCGTCCTGCTCCCAGGGTGACCAGAACTCCCAGGGTCTGCACCGGAGCTGCAAGGAAATTAAATCCACTCAGGACGGAGCTGGAGGTGAGTGTGGGGGCAGCATCCCCGGACCTGCCAAAAGCTGCTTTGCTTCTGTTGGGGGGCTGCTTCAGACTGAAAAATGCCACAGCTGGGGCCGTTTGATTCAGATGCGCTCAGGCATCTCTGTGCTGGGAGCAGGGGCACCTGCCTGCCTGTGGGCATGGTGGGGAATCACATCCCTGGAGCCGTGAGACACTGAGCCCTGCCAGTCCCCGCAGGTGGGAGCTGTGCTGCAGCTGACAACTCTGTCCGGCTCCAGCCTGTCTGTCTCGCCAGCAAACTCCTCAGGGCTCTCCCAGCACGAACCTCCTCAGCCAGGCACTCCGGGTATGTCTACACTACAGCACTAATTCAAACTAACTTAGAAGCTAATTCAAATTAGCACATCTAGACCTAAAAACTAATTCGAATTAGCGTTTTGCTAATTCGAACTAGCTCATCCACACTAATTGGATGCTGGGGCACATTTAAGGGCAGCTCAAACCAGTCCCAGCAGCGCATCAGGTCAGTAGTTGCTTTGTGTGGCTGCTGTCTGAGGCTATCTGAGGCTCATGCTTAAAGGGA